AAAGAAAGGGAAAGAAAGAAAGAAAGAAAGAAAGAAAGAAAGAAAGAAAGAAAGAAAGAAAGAAAGAAAGAAAGAAAGAAAGAAAAAGAAAGAAATTCTGCTTCCACCCGTGAGTGGAAAAGAAGCCAGACAAACCTCTGCACCCCAGAACAAGGGTGATCAGTGACACCCTCTGCTGGCTTCCTTCCTGATGCATGAACAGTGCCTTCAGTTTGTGTTTCCAGTAACACCCTGTCCATGACAATGTTAGTCTTCTCTTGGACAGCAGCGGCTTCCTGTCGTGGTCTTCACTTGCTTCTGAGCCCTTAGAAGCCCCTTTAACACCTATGCTCCACCAACCCTCTCTTCAAGGCAAAGTGGATCTGCTCCCGCATGAGCCTCAAGCCCTTTCAGCCTTGCTCATTACTCAATTCCAAGTTCACTGCCACATGTTTAGGTGTCGTTACAGCAGTATGCCATTTCCCAGAATCAAAATCTGTATTGGTTTGCTAGAGCTGCCATAAGCTAACGCCACGACAGGGTCAGGCTCTGGCAGGAGAGGAGCCCTCCTTGTCTGGTCCAGCTTCTTGTGGCTCCAGGTGTTCCTTGGCCTGTGGCTGCCATCACTCCAGCCTCTGCCCGAACATGGTCTTCTCCCCCGAGGATTTGTCTCCTAACTTCCCTCTCCTCATGAAGACTTGGCAACCAGATTCAGGGCCACCTGGGAATTCCAGGTGTGAAGTGGATGGCAGGTGAAGAGCGTATGTTTGGGAGGCAGGGCCACCATTCAGCCCAGTGCAACCCCTCCGCCCTGCCAAGGCTGCTTTGGAGTCGGAGCTGCTTGGGCACCACAGCCACTCCCCACTGTCCTGCCGACCTTAGGCATCCCACGCCCACCTCCACGCTAACCCGAGCGCTTCGAGAGTCATGGATCTTGGAATGAAAGGAGGACCAGCACTGCGCTCTGGGGAGGATCGGGGCTGGGACCCTCCTCCCTGCCTGGGTCCCCAGGACACAAGCCATGGGCAGCTGTCCCCACTCCAGGCCACAGTCCTCACTCCCTTCTTCCCAGCCGTCCTCTGGGACAAGAGCCTAGACCGGGTCAGCAGAAGAGGAGGGGGAAGCACCCACATCGCCACGCTCCCTGGGCTCCCCGGGTCCCTGGACCCAAGGCTTCCCGCCCCTGAGGAGGTCAGAAATCCTGTCCTGCCCCGAAGCTCCAGCCCCGGCCTGGGTGACCCCACAGCTGACCTGAAGGTGAGTCCAGACTTGCTCTTGAGGTTCCTCAACAGCTCCAGCTGGTTGAGTGGTGGGATGAGTCTGGGACAGGAGAAAGAGAGGTGAGTGGGCCCCCACCGGCACCGGCCCGGGAGGAGGGCCGGCCCTGCCCGCTAGGCGCACTTCACCCAGAGAAAGTGGTGAGCGCTGGGCGGTGTGCATGCAGCTGACCTGTGCCAATGGCCCACCCGGGGCCCCGGGCACGACACCCCCCATCATGCAGGCCCTGGGGCCATTTTCACTCTCTGGGGTGCTCCTAGGACCTCAGGGCCTGGACGGGGCAGTGACCGGCACAGACAGCTGGGAAAGCATGCCCACGCTGTCCACGAGCCACCCCTGCAGTGTGGAGGGCCAGGAGACCTGAGCCCAGGCAAGGATCCCCCTCCTCCCTCCATGGTCCCTGAACACCCCCAGGGGCAGCACAACCAACCACACACTGCACCCTAACACGTCAGGGCCCCCGGCTCCCTCTGCAGAGCCTCTTTCCCTGACAAAGCTGGGGTGGGACAAGGGGCCACGGTCCCAGAAAGAGCTTTGTCTCTGCGGGCCCAGACCCCCCCGGGGGCCCTTGGTGAGGGCCCAGCTCTGCTCCCCCTCCTGGCCCCGTTCACCCCCCCAGAGGCCTCGGGCCTGTCCCATCTGCTCTGGCACATGGCCACCTCACAGGTCCACGGGCAGCATCCTGGAAGGCGAAACATCTGCCTTTTCACTGCTACCCCCTCTGGCAACCTCAGACCCCTCCGGCCCTCCTCCCCACTGCCTGCCCTTCCACACTCTGCGATCTAGTTTTCTGGGGCAATGTCCTCCATGGAGAACGTGGCCCCTCCACTGCCCTGACCCTAGGCCGGGCCACGGCCTGCTCCACGACTCCCTGGCTCCACAGAGCTCCCCAAACCCCACTCAGATCTTAGACGTCGCCCAGGACAGCGAGCCCCCACTCCCCTCATCTGCATCCTGCTTGCCCCAGCTGCAGAGCATGACTCCCTGCGTCTTTGTGCCCAGGAGTCTGAGGAGCAGTTCACCTCCCAGCCTAGCTCTCATCCAGCCTGACTCTCCGTGGGCCCCTTCATCCCTCTGCCTGCATCACCCCCTCTCATCTCCCTGGCCCATTCCCCACCCTACTCGACTCTCCAGATGTGCTCAGCATCCTCACCACTCTCCTGCCCACATACTGGATGGTTCCCCACTGCCTCCCACAAGGGACCACTGACCCCACTGGGCCTCGGAGCCGCACTCTGCTACCCTGACCCCTCCCCTGGACAGCCCCCCTCCTCGGGCGGGCCCACAGACACTGCTGTCCTGCCAGCCCTCGCCACTCCCGCCTCTGGTGTCCCCCAGCAGGTGAGCTGTTCACGCTGGGATGCAAGTGGGGCTGCACAGCCACACTGAGCCCCCCAAGCCCCCTGCAGCCCCAGCAGGGCTAGGTCCCGGGAGAAGCACTGGGGGAAGGCGCTTTGGGAGCTTCTCACTCCCTGCCACACCCTCTGTCCAGGTCGGTGAGCACTAAGCAGGCCCAGCAGTCAGGTTAGTCAGCACGGGTGCAGCAGCGCTCCCAGGCCACCCCAACACCCGCAGAGACACAGCTGTCCTCCCTCTCCAGCCCCCAGTCCTGGGGCCCAGAGCAGGGCAGCATCCCTCACCCCCCCCCCCGGGCCAGGTGAGAGGCGCAGTATCAGCCCTTGGAGCCAGGCGGGACGGCATGCCTGGGACACACGGAGCAGCGCTGAGCAGGCTGGCCACACAGCTTGGGCCCCGCCACTTACAGCAGACAAGGGTGCAGCAGGCTGAGGGGAGGGGGCTGGGGAGCCGCAGGAAGGAGCCCGATGGTTTGGGGGTTCCACTAGCCTCAGGGCACAGCTCCAGCCCCAGGCCGGGGTGCCCGACAAATGTTGGGGTATCTTATTTCTGGGTGTAGTGCTGGCTGGAGGAGACAGGCAGAGGGAGCCAGTGGAGTGAAGGAGCTCGTGCTGGGGAACCCCAAGGGTACAGGCGCAGGACCCCCTTTCCAGGCCACCTTACCTCTGAGGTCTGCAGGGAGCATGTGGGGTAGAGATGCCTGGCCTGACCTGCGCTGTCCAGCACAGTGGCCTGGCCCAGGGAGGCTCAACCTCCTCACAGTGTGGCAGGGTGGGCACTGCTTGCGGGAAGGGACCACAGCTCACTGGGCACAGCTGGGACTTGCTACTGTCCTGCACAGGCCCACATGCCCCTCAGGGAAGGGCCCCTGCACTGTGCACAAGGCGAGACGTTCTGAGGGGCTCAGCAGCCCCATCTGAGGAAAGAACCTTAGCCAGGAGGCCACATGTAGCTCTCCAGGGCCTGGACCAGTATCACAAGGCAATGGGCCGAGGGGCAGGGAGAGGGACGCCAGAGGCAGGTGCCGAACAGGGGCCCATGGCCTGCAGATTCTGGGATGATCCCTTGGCCCGGGCCACAGCCCCAAGCAACACGGTGACCCCACACCCTACTCCGCTCTGTTCCTGAACGGGTCTGGGGGCTGGGGCAGACACAGGTGGGGACTGCAGTTGCAGACAGACACAAAGCAGGACAAGGAACAGGAGTGACCCGAGGACAAGCGGGCTGACAATAAGGGACAGTGGCTGAGGAGGCGAGCGACAAGGGGGCAAGGAAGGTTGCTCCGGGTCCAGGGAGAGGGGCAGTTGGCAGGGGCTCCAGGCAGGGAAGGGCCACAGGGAGACAGGCCTGACACTGGCCAGCACAAGGACCACTGGGACGGGCCGTCTCTGTGGGCAGCGGGGCTCGAGAGCTAGCCCCGGAGTGACCCAGACAGTACGAGAACCACACACACGGCTTTCTGTCCCATGCATTTCCTACCTGGATGCCCCGTAGGTTTGAGTTTGTGAGCTTTCAAGTGTTTTCACGCACATGCACACACAAAGGGAAAAGAACCAAAATTTTAAAAAGAACGGGATAAGAAAAATAAAAGGAAAAAAAATAGTCAAGGGAAGTGGGGGAAACAACAGAACAAAGAAAATTAGCACATGGCTCCGTCCTGTCCTCGTCACCTGATGAGGGGCCCAGTGACAGGGCAGCACCAATGCTGGTTTCCAGAAGGACCAGGTGGCCAGGCCCCGGCTCAGAGGGCCAGAGATGCCAGTGGGGTGCAGGCCTGGGGCAGGGCCATGCAGCTCCCCAGGGCCGCCCCAGGCCCCAGGCCGCAGGGCCATTGCCAATGTCTGGACCTCAGGACAACTGCCAGCTCAGCGGGCCCGCTCACTCTGTACACACACTGGCCCAGGGAGAGGGCCAGGGCCAGCCAGGAAGCTGGGAGACCCCAGCTTGACCTCAGCCCCCTCAGAACCAAGGGTCTGCAGGCAGCGCAAGGCCATCCAGGAGGGCTCCAGGCCCACAGTGCCTGGCTGTGTGGGCAGCTCAGTCCTCCATGGCCTTTAGCAGACATTCTGGCGCCTGCCAGGCCCTCTGCCCGTCCGCCAACCGCGGGACCCACTCAGCTGCCTTCCCGACTTCTGGAGACACTTCGGGGCCAGCCCAGCCAGCCTGCAGGCTGTCTGGGGCTGGGGCCGGGTCTGGACCTAGCGTCTCCCTGCGTCTGGGTCACCTTCTGCCCCACCCCTGGGCCCTGGCCCTCATTGGAAGCCCAGCTCCCCATCAGCCTTGCGGGCTAGAAGCTGGGGCCAGCAGGGCCTCATGGCCAGTGTCTACCTGTCCAGGGTCTGGGGAGGGCCCTGATGCCACACCCCCACGGGAGGACGGAGAGCAAGGGGCAGGGGAATGAAGGTGAAAAACAAAAGCCGCAGCACTATGAAACGGACAAAATTAACACTAAAATAAAGCACACAGAGAACCTTCTTTGAAAAATAAACTTTAAAGAAAAAGAGAAATTCAGCCAACCAAAACAATGAACAACAGAAACAGGGTGTAAGGACAAATGGAAATTAAAAGAGGAAACCGATGAGCTGGGCGGCCCTGGCAGCCGCGTGTGGACGCGGTACCTGTACATGGGCACCGTGACCGTGCGCTCGTAGTACTGCCAGGTGGAGTGCAGGTCCGTGCGCGACAGGTTGGTGGCGTAGAACCTCCAGGCGGACTGCGGAGGGAGAGCACAGCTCTGAGCACAGTGGGCGCCCCTTTCCGGGCCCCACCCCGAGGGTCCTTCACAGCAGCAGAACTGCAGCCCCATGTCTGACCCCACCCACAGCTTCAGTTTGCCCTCCTGGGAGGAGCAGGCAAGACCCCACCCCAGGGCCAGGGGGTGACAGGGAGGGGAGCGGCACGTGTGCAGGCCCTGGGCTTGGGGGTTGCTGTCACTGCAGGCACCGCGCTGCCCTCCCCCGTTCTAAGAGGGCCGTTTGCCCCAGTCCACGCAGCCTGGGGAGGGAGAACAGGCCCAGTCCCCTTGCTGCAGGCATGGTGGCCACCAGGAGCTCTTCCCAGTCAAGCAGCAAGGACTCAGCCTAGCCGGGGGGCTTGAGCCTGCCATTTAGACTGATCCAGGGACCCAGACTTCTTTGTGATCCCCATACCTTGTGGGTGACAACACACACATACGTAACACAAAACTTGTCCTTTCTGCCACTGCAAAGTGCATTCACTGTACGACCATCACTACTATTAATTCCACAACATTCGTTCATTTGTGTTTCGTGGTGCTGATTTGAATCCAGCACTTACCACTGAGCTATGCCCCTGGCCCTTCACTTTTTTTCATTATTTCCCGAGACAGGGTTTTGCTAAGCTGCCTAGGCTGACCTCGAACTTGCAATCCTCCTGCTTCAGTCTCCCAAGCAGCTGAGATACAGATGATACTATGCCCAGCTAATTCCACAACCTTCTTTTTTAGCCCTGGGGATTGAACCCAGGGCCCTTGCACTAAGCTACATCCCCAGCCCTTTAAAAAAAATTTTTTTTTCAGTTAGGGTCTCACTAAGTTGCCTAGGCTGAACTCTAACTTGCTATTGTCCTGCATCAGCCTCCCAAGAAGCTGGGATTGTGGGCGTGTACCCCGATACCCGGCTAATTCCATGACGTCTTCCATGCTCCCAGGGAGCCCCACATATACATTAGGTAGTCACTCCCCAATCTCCTTCCCCCAGGCCCTGGCACCACAATACGTGTTGGTCTCTGGGATTTGCCTTCTCTGGATTTTTCCTATCAATAATCACACACGTGGCCTTTTCCAGCTGGCTGCTCTCCCTAGCTCACCCAGGATGGAACACGTATCCACGCTGCACTGCTTTATGGCATTCATCATATTCTGATCACCCACTCGTCCACGGATGGATGCTAGGTTGTTTCCACTTCTTGCCTATTGACATCAGCTGCAATGGTCATTTGTGTGTGAGCCTTTGGGTGGACGCCTGTTTTCACTTTGGGGAGGTCTATACCTAGAAATGGAATTGCTGGGTGAGATGGTAACTTCAGGTTCCGCTCTCTGAGGAACAATTCGAGTGGCCTCCAGCTTTTCCATTTCTGCTTTTAAAAAAGAGCACTGGGCTTATGATACAGTTTGTAATGAATCTGTAGATCAGTTTTTATTGAGACCATATTAACATCAAGTCTTCCAATACATGAAGATGAGATGCCTTTTCATTCATTTAAGTCTTCGTTAACTTCTTTCAACAATGTTCTACAGTTTTCAGGGTACAAGGGCATATTCAGGTGCACACACTTCACCTGCCCCTGACTGGCAAGGCAAGCGGGCTGAGCTCAGGGCACAGTGGGGTCTACAGCCCAGGTTGCAGGCTGCATAGATGCAACTCAGACACCCCTCACTTCCTCTCTCACACTGACTGAGAGGTCTCTGCTCCCCCAGGCGTATCCTACAGAGGGACAAGAGCTGTAACTGCACCCAAGGCCAAACAGGTGCCACTCCCAGACAGGTGGGACTGGAACACAGCCTTCCTCGCTCTCCAAGGAGGCCGTCAGGACTGACCTGGATCAGACCCGCTGCTGGGTTCCGCCTCTTCTCGAAGTGCTTCTGCCGATGCTGCTCTTGGACTTTCAGGGCAAAACCAGACCCCAAAATGCCCTGCAAGTCACCAAGGTCAGACCATGCAACAGAGAGCCACTGCCCTGACTTTATCAGGGCTAGATCATGTCCAGGACCCATTCCCTCCCCACCCTGGCCTGCATGTCCCCAGCTTCATGGACTCCACCTTCTTACCTCCTCAGTCCCTCACACCCAAGACCAGACCAAGGGAATCCCTTGGATTTGGGGTCACAGAAACCTCTGGCCTCCAGGAGGCATGCAGTACCCCTACTGAACCCAAAGGGGAACCCCTCCTTTCCAATCTGTCAGGCCACACCCCTCTAGCAGCTGCCCTCAGTCAGTGCTGACACAGTGAAGAGTGAGCAGAGCCCCATCCCCATCTGCCTGGGACAAATCTTTGATCCTGCAGAGCCCTGATGGAGGTGCTGTGTCACCAGGGCTGCTCCTGGTCCTGAGGACCCCAATGCTCAGGGCCAGCTGAGAGGAGGTCCCACACTGACCAGGACAGCTGGGCAGAAGCCACAGCCTGGGGGCCCTATGGGGTGACTGCAGCTCAGGGTCACAGGCTTCCAGGCCAGGGCACCCCACTCTGGTCCAGGGACGGGGCCTTCCCCAGGGCTGTGGATCTGCAGCAACCCCACTCCTGTCCTGGGTTACCCCAAGGGGCGGAGATTCCCATGGACAGGTGGAGAGACCTTGTCCCTCAAGCAGGGAAGGGTGCCGGGCATACCGCAGGAAGAGCGAAGAAGGAGACACCAATGAGGGTGAATGTTGCCGCCAGGAGCCTCCCGTTCCAGGTCTGGGGGTACTTGTCCCCGTAGCCAATGGTCGTCAGGGTGATCTGTGGGACAGTGGGTTGGCCACTTGGCCAGGCTGGCAGTGGCTGGCATGGAGGCCCACAGCCTTGAGCCAGGTCCTCCTGCCCAGCCTTTGTGGGCTCCCTGAAGGGGCTCCTTAGCGCCCCTGGGGCAGATGGACAGGCCAGCCCTGCGGGCGTGGGCCACACGGAGGTTGGGGACGCTCCGCCTACACAGGCCAATGCAGCCAGTCAGTATCAGCTGCTCTTCAACACTGCAAGCCCCCCTGCAAGGCCCCCACAAATCTCCCCTCCATGCGGGGTCACTGAGGAGGCACTGGTCCCATTTCACACCCAAGGGCAAACCCCGCAGCATCTACAGGGTGCAGGAGCAAGGAGAGAAATCCCTGCCTCAGCCCTACACCCCCTAGAGGCGCCAGGCGCACTCGGCCCTGGACTGTGCTTGGAGACTGAGGGAGGCAGGCAGCGCCTAGAGAGGCGGGAGACAAGGGAGGGATTCAGAGAGAAGCAGGTGGAGTGGGTGGGGTTGGGGAAGGGTGGGGCCTTGGTGGGAGTCAGGGATGGTGGGAGGTGCCTCTGGGAGGGGCGGGGCCTGGAGGGTGGCCCTCCGTGCCTGAGGGACCACAGCAGCACCCCCCCCACTGGGCACCTGGGGATGAGGACAGGGGGCGGGACGCGCTTGCAGGCAGCTCTGACAGCTGGTAACGGTGTGCGGGGGCAGGGGGGGGCGACGAAGGTCGCTGCACATCCCCTGCTGGCCAGGACCACACAGGCCTCCAGCCAGAAGGCCCCAGGGGGCAAGCAGGTTAGGCCCTGGGGCACAGTCTTGGGCAGAGGGAGAGGCTGACCATGCTGAGGGGCGTGGGCACCTCGGACATGGCCTATTGCGCCCTCCTGTGTGCTCCATACACATGCTGACAGTGGTGGCCCTGCAGTGTGAGGTGGGGTCAGAGCTGCTGGGCACAGCGTAGGGGCTGAGTCTGCAGCAACAGCAGTGAGCAGGGGCACTGTGCTGCAACCTCCTGGCCACAGGCAACAGATTCGGGCCAGGGGTACGGGGCAGGGTAAGGCAGAGTGGGCTCAGGCCAGAGAACCCCAGCAGCCCCAAGCCCTGGGGCTTGGCCCACCCTCAGGCAGGGCTGGGATGCAGGAAGGGCCAAAGAAGCAGGTCCAGGGTAGCCAGGCCGACCAGGGACACTTCAGACACACAGGCTCTGAAACCGTTTGCAGCGGCCAATGGACTTGCTCTCTAAGTAAGGCTCCAGAGAGAGGACATAGGGAGCCAAGCGGGGATGGGGTGCAGTGGCAGCCCCCAGGAGGCAGAGCTGCAGAGCAGGAAGACAGCTGAGGTGCATCTCACTCTACCCCGGAGGCAACCAAGCAGTCACAGAATGGGGCGCAGGCACCCAAGGTGGGTGGGGTGATGACAGCCACCCAAGGAAAGCCACAGGGCCAGTTAGGAGGGAACTAGAGGGGAGGGCATGCGGCTGGACTTCAGGAACTGCCATATATAAGTCCACGGAAGTGTCACTTTGAAAAGACATGGTTAAAAATTTTTTATTCACTTTAGAAAGATGAGAAAAGGGCCAGGGACTTAGCTCAGTGGTGCCATCGCCTGCCTCACAAGGTCGAGTTTGATCCCCGGTACCAAAAAAACAAACAACCAAAAAGCTAGCAGAAAGATGAGAAAGCTGTGGCCTGGGGGAGGACAGGCCATTTCCCAGGGAGGGGCTCCAGGGTCAGCTGGCCGAAACCCAGGACCCCCGGGTGCCAAGCCAGCCCTCTGGCAGAGCCTGGACGCGTGTGGGTGGTCAGTGGCTTCCATGTACATCTGACCCTCAGCCTGGGCTCCTCACATGCTCAACGCTCCCCCTACCTCAGCCTGCCTCACTCCTGACTGTCCTGGTGGGACTGGAGGACACAGAATTCCAGGCCTTGAGGCCATGCATGAAACTGTCAATAATCAATTGTCCTCTGTCTTCATCCCCTGGAGAAGTGGGGCTCCTCTTCTGAGAGAGAAACCCAGAAGACCTGGTAACTATGGGTGTGCTGCACATGCACAGCTAAGGCCAAGGCCACACAGCCAGCATAGCATGTTTAGGCCTCCCCAGGGAAAGATTCTGCTTGGCACAACCCCCTGCTTGGAGCACCCAGGGAATCTGAGGAGGAGCCAGGGAATAATCCGTCCCAACCTAACTGGTAGGATCTGGGGCCCAGCCCAGTCTCCAGATACAGAGCTCTGAACACACAGGGCCTCAGGGATGTGACATCCACCCCAGCCCCAGCGGGAGGGAGTCCTTCCAGAGGTGTCCACCAAGCCCCTTCATGGACCCCAGGGACAGGGAGCCTCAGGTGCAAAGGCCAGGGGCAGCTCAGGTGCTGGGCAGCTGCGAAGCCAGAGGGAGCAGGTATGAGCAAGGCTGCCACCCCCAGGCTCCAGACCTCCAGGGGAGCCAGAGGTGGGGTCCTCTGTTCTCTTACCCTTCACCGTGAGGGCAAGCCCAGGGCTGTGGGGCCAGGAGCAAGTGGTCCCAGCTGGTGGCAGCTTGTCCTGGGGCAGAGGGCCAAGCATCCCGCCTGCTCTCCCACACATGCACAGCTGCAAGGTCGGGGGGTTAGTCTCCCTGAACTGGGACCCTGACAGGCTCCCTGGCCACTGCTCTGTGACCCTCCTCTCATCTTCGCCCCCACCACTCCAGGCGAACGTGACCTCCATACACTGTCGTGGCCACAGGCAGCCAGCAGGTGGCCTCCAAGAGACATCCAGCCAGCTGGCCCAGAGAAGGCCCAGAGGGGCCGAGGGCGTCCTCAGGACAGTGGGCAGGAGGAGGCAAGGAGAAGAGCAGACGTCCTCAGGGAAGGGACAGCCATCCAGGACTACAACTCACCAGGCCCCACCACAGTGCATCTGCGTAGGTGTCGAAATGGTCATTCTCTCCCTTCTCTGCCAAGTACACCAGAAACGAGGCCAGAATGAGGCAGAGGAAGCCAATGTACCAGGCAGTGACCAGCTCCTGCAAGGCAGATGGCCATGTCACTGCCACACTCGGGCCAGCCTGGACAGTGTCCAGTCCCAAGACCCTGCACTGGGCTCTGCGTCTCCAGGCCCTGGGGACTGAGCTTCCCTCCTGAGGCTGGCAGCTCAGCCCTGCATGGGGATAGTGTGAGGACTCACACCACAGGACAGGAGGGGCTGCTGGCTGCTCGTCTCCCAGCCTTGGACACCCTTCCCCTGTGCATGGCAGGCCTGAGGAGGGGCCAGCCAGTACTGCCAGCTCAGCACGCAGGCACCCACCCAGGGCTCAGGGGCATCTGCCCCAGCAGCCAGCAAGCCTGAGGAAAATGGAACTGTTGAGACCCTTGAGAGACAGCTCCGAAAAGGGATTCAGCATCCAGGAAGGGACAGGGGAGCGTGCAGCCGGAAGCTCAGTCCTCTTAGAGGCCCCACACCTGCCCTAAAGCCCTCATGGCCTACAAACCCCCACAGAGTCCCAGCAGGAAGGAAAACAGGGAGGAGATGATTTGGGCAGTAAGTCCCTCACATGCCGGCTGGCTTCAGTGCACAGCCTGGCAGGACTGCATCGTGGGCACTGGGGATCTGGGACCCCTTGGAACATAGAATGTGTGTGGCCACAGCCACGCCATGGGTACCCCAGCCAGCAGCTGCCACAAGCCACAGCTTAGACAACCCTGCCCGCAGGTGACTCAGTGCTGTATCCATCCAGGAAATGAGACACCCAACCACAGAGCAAAGAGGCTCCACGGAGGAACGCAGGCAACTGGCCTTGCAGAAAAGCTTTCTGGGGAAAGATGACAAAGATGGCTCGAGTCACAAAGAAATCCCAAGAAAGGGGAGGCCCAGGCTCCGTAGCCCTGTGTCCCACCTGGCCAGGACACGGGAGTGGGTCGGGGCAGCTAGGGCCCAGGTGGACAGCAGAGCCCTGGCCCTGGCCCTGGCCCAGGCCTGCTCACCTTGCTGTGGGCGTAGACCACAGAGCCCAGCAGCTTCCAGGTGCCCCCCCTCCGGTCCATGCGGATCATCCGCAGGATCTGCAGGAACCGCAGGCTTCGGAGTGCAGACGTGGCAAAGACATTGCCCTGGGAGCCAGCCGCCAGCACCGCAATGGAAGCGATGAGCACCATGATGTCTGAGGGAGACAGTGGGAGCTCAGCCAGGCCTCCCTCCAGGCTGCAGAATGGAGTGGGACAACCCTTTCCCTGCACCACCCCTGGAGGATGGACAGGAGGACCCGAGGGCTTGCAAAGTGCCTAGGAAGGACAGATACTGCTGACCACCTGCCTGTACCCACCCCTCGCCTGACATCTAGGCCACATTAGCCATGGCTCCAACTCAAGTCAGAAGTGGGAAGAAACTTCCAGAAGGGCCTGGTCCTGCGTTCTGCCAGCCTGCTGTGGCCAGCACAGACACCAGCACCAGCTTCCTCCAGGCCACCTGTCCCGGGGCCCGCTCTGCTGATCCCACCCCACCGGCCTCACCGATCACACAGAATGGCTTCCGGGCAAACTTCAGGCGTCCTCTCCAGCCACGGTACCGGCAGCAGCAGCCTGCAGCCCAGATCCGGACAAAGTACTCCACGCCAAACACCACGATGGTCACGATTTCCTACAGGGGAGGCCATGGCTGAGGGCACCGTGAGGCTTGTGGGGGCACCAGACAGCCACGGGAGCCTGGGAGCCCTCCCTGAAGCCCCAAGGGGGACCTGCAAACTTAGCCCCACACCCAGGGGCCCCATCCGAGCCAGCCCAGCAGCAGGGCTCCAGCCCCTGGACACGTGTTGGGCCTGAGGACCATGGTGGGGCCATCTCCAGCCTCCCCACCTAGGAGGGCAGGGACGTCTGCCTCTCCAAGGCCCGGTCCTATGCCCTGTCTGTGATCTGCACTGGGGGAGGGTCCCAGGCTCGGTACTGGGCGCCCAGCTTCTACCCAGAACTCAAGGCAGCCTCAGGGCAGAGCGGCAGGGCGGGTGGAGGCATGTCCTTTCTGGGTATCAGTCTCCCTGAAGGGCCACCCTCGTCACCAACAGCAATGCAGAAATTACACTCCCGTTGCCATTGCACCCGCCCCTGCCCCATCTCTGGGCTGCTGTGATCATCAGCCCCTCAGCCAGAGTACCTATGTCTGCTGGGGAGCACCCCGCACCTATGGGGGGAGGGGCCACCTGGGCTCCAGAGGAACGGGGGCGGGGGGACATGGGAAGAGCGACGCAGTCACTGACATTCTCCCCATGAGGGGTCCTGGGGCCGTGGCCGGGGCAGGGCGGGGCGGGAGGAGGACCTGGGCAGGCAGTGTTGGGCAGACACCAGGCAGCCCTGCCCCTTCCCGCCCAGCTGTGCGCAGGGCTCACCAGGATGTAGAGGGCTCCCTCCGAGCTCTTCTCGTACTCCTTGATGGTGGAAAACACAGACAGCACGAGGCAGGAGAAGACCAAGAGGAACCTGGAGGACAGCGGTGAGGCACGGTCAGCAGCCAAGGACACGGGACACCGCCCACCCCAGCCAGACGGCAGCAGAGGCCCCACCACGGGGCGTAGTCCATGCTGCCCTCAGCCAAGCTCCACCCGTCCGACCTCAGCCCTGATGGCTTCATGTATGGAGACGGCCCGAGTGTCTGCCCACCAACAGCGACCAGACCAAGAAAGGGGCCAAATCCACGGGCCGGGGGCCAGAAGCAGCCAGCCTTTCTCCTGGTATGCAACCATCTCCTGGGCTCAGCAGCAGAAAACTCCGCCGACTAGATCCTGTGCTCAACAAGAACTCTCAGATCATCTTTCTGACTTTGCCCTGCCTGCCAAGAAGCTCGAAGTCTTTCTGTTTCTCCTTCCTTGTGAGTTCGGGGGCCTCATCCTCCACCTCCTAGGTGTTACAGTGAATTTCCTAATTACCCTCTACCCTCCTGCCATTTAGAGCCTGGCTCTTTCGGACCCACGAAACCCTCCCACGGGCTCTGTGCCTCCTTCATGGCTGTGCGGCCTCTTCTGACCAAGGTGCATGTGGACTATAACACAATTAATTCACTTCCTGTTGTGCACAGTGAGACAAGAACAAGTCTCACGCGCCGGGTCCTGGTGCCTGCCTGACAATGAAGATTTCTCAGAGGTGGAAACACAGGCTTTCCCAGGAAGAGAGTGCGCTGCTCCACCGTCAGCAGCCCACAGCGGACCCAACCTTGGCCTGCTGCAGAAAGCTCCCCAGGCCCACGTGGGGTCCCCTCTCCTGGCCGCCCACGGTCGCCCCCAGAATCTGAGTCAGTGGATTTCCTTCTACACCTGTTCCACTCAGTGAATTTACCGTCCTCACCCAAGGCCTTCAGACACCTGTCACACACAGGCTCCCCCAGCAGGCTGCAGACAGGAGACCCTGAGGCCCTGCCAAGGGCACCCCAAGTGGCTGGGTGAAGAGGGCTAGCACAGCAGGAGTCTGCACACCCAGTCCCAGGACGCCAGCCCTCCCTCCTGGAGCCCAGGACGGCTCTGCAGCTACGGGCACAGAGGAGGAGCTGTCAGCAGCAGCTGCTTGGGGGGCAGTGGCTCCTGGGGCCACCTGCTTTCTCCAGCTGTCCACCTGCGACAGGAAGGGGACGCCTTCAATGTCTGGTGAGCAGGTTGACGGCATGTGACCGGCTCTGGTGGGAAGGCATCGAGGGGAGCCTCGTGTCCCCCTGAACCCAAGGGCTCTCGTTCAGACAGTGGCTTGGAAGGACCAGGAGCTGCAGGAGAGGACGGAGCCCAGAGCAAAGAGCCCCTCATCAACCCATGCTACCAGGCTGGCTCCGGCCACACCAGCAAGCTGCTCTGTGCCTGGCCTGGCCTCCTGAGCCCACCCCACAAGCCCCACCTCTGCCCCGTAGGTGCAACCCCCACAAGCCCACACCCTGAAGTCGGGCCACCCAGGGGTCAGATTTCCTCCACACGGGGTCTCCCTTCTGGCCCCTGACCAGGCCCTGATCTCTCCCCTGGACAGTCTGCCTACAGCTGGAGTTTGACCACAAGCTCACTGTTCCCTGGGGAGGCACCCCTCCCAGGCACGCTCTGTGAGCTGAGCAGGCCGCCCACACTGCTCCCATGTAAAATCCACTCTGACCCTCTCGATGCCCTTCCAGAATGGAGGGGAGCAAGGCCCAGCCAACTAGTGCAAGCAGCTTCAGTCTCAGTGCCTCTGCTTTGAGCCACCCGAGAAGAGGGTGGAATTCAGAACCCTTCCAACCTCTTTCCCTCTGACATGAGGGAAACATGCCTGAAGATGAAGTTACAAGGAGAAGACAACAGTGGAGGAGTTGAGAAGAAGCCAAAAGATGCAGCTTGAGCACCTGGAGCCAGCCGTGCCTGAAGCCCATTGGACTTCCAGGTAACATAATCTCATTCCTTAAATACTCTGGATTTGTTTTCTGCCCTTTGCAAAGAAAAGATCCCTGCCCTTACCAGGCTGTGATCAGCTAAATGACAGGGCCAGGGCCAGCTCTGAGGACTCTGACTCACGACTACCATACTGTGCTCATTTCCTGTTCTGGCCTCTGGCTACTGCCTGTGAAGACAAGCCATGCTGAATGTGGCATAAGTAGCCCCAGATCAGAAGGGAAAATAAATCCTTGGCATGTGGCGCTGGCTGTGGTAGACCCCACTCAACCCACCAGTGCTTCTGTTTTCTTGTAAGAGCCCTTGGGGCTGGGAATGTGGCTCAGTAGTAGGCGCTTGCCTCGTGTGTTGGAGGCTGGGGCTCTGTCCCCAGGACCTCCCAGGGGACCAGCATCAGCGTGAGTGTGGGAGACCCCAGCTTTACCGCTGGACCCCGGGAGGGAAGTCATAGCACCAGCCACCACCTGAACCCCAGACCAGGACGGGCAGGGACAGCAATTCAAGCAAATCATGGGCAGCGCCTGACACAGTGCTCAGCACATGCCCACCCTGCACCATCACTGCTGGCCACCTCAGCCCAGGCACCTCAGGACCCTCGGCCAGCGCTGGTCTCCCCTGTCCTATCTCACTGGCCATCCCTCACCAAGGATTGACACTGTGGAGGCTGTCTGCTTTGGTCACAGCCACCAACCTATCCACCGCATCTGAAGGTGCAGAGACCACTAGGCAGGGGCTCCACCAACTGACCATCACAGGCTGCCAGAGGGCAGGGGCCTCAGAAAGGACCAGCCAGCGGACTCAGCCGAGGCTCCACCCATGCAGCCAAGTCACCCTGACCAGCATCCGAAGCAGGAGCACAGGCGGCCCATGGGGCGGCTACTGCGCAGGCAGGGAGGAGACTGCAGCCCTGCCCAGGCCACTGCACCGGCTGCATAGCTCAGGAGCAGCTCCTCAGCAGGATATAAAGCAGAAAGAGTCCACGCACACAGTGAGCCAAAGGGCACAGCTCCCCCCGAGGCAACCCCCTGGCCCTCAGCCAGCTCCACCTGCCCAGGCATTCAGACCACGAGTGCCCCGGTGAGGCCCCAGGACCGTTCTAGGCCACACCCTCATGTCTGCCCATAGCAACACTGGCCCTGAGCAGGCGTTCAGGGCAGGGTCAGCCCAGCACACCAGAACATGCTCCTGAGCCCTGAGGAAGCCAGCCGTGGCTCCTGAGCCCCGAGGAAGTCAGCCGAGCCCTGCGGAAGCCAGTCGCGGCTCCCAGGCCTGCTCACTGCCCTCCCTCATGGACTGACTCCCAGCCAGATGTGCTGGCCTGGGCCCCACCCACTCCTGGCCCCTGAGGACAGGGTCCCCACGTGCCCCAGCTCTGGGGTGGAGGTGCTGGTAGCAGGTAGCAAAGGCTCCGAAGGGCCTGCTGGTAAACAGAGCACACAAAGAAATGGTCATTTCAAAACTGCAATTAATTTCCTTTGCTCATTAGCCAATTTATTCCATTAACTAAGCCCTAAAAAAAAAAAGTGCAGACATCTCGTGCCTCCTACAAGTGATTCTGCCTGCCTGGCAGTGTCTTCTCCCAAGGACGCTCCTGGTCCTGGGCCAGGCCCTGGGGAGAGGTACAGGAGAGGCGCTGAAGGACCCTCCACCCAGAAGGGGCACTGGCAGCTCAAGGTGGGAGCCAGGGGCCCCTCGGCTTATCTGCAGGATGAAGAGCTGGCCTGGCCACACAGCCCCAGGGCCAGGGAGCTCCTAGCAGAGGGGACAGCTAGCAGGTTAGAGCCCCATGAGCAGGCCCAGAGGGAGGCAGCTGGATGTGTCTGGACAGACTGGAAAGCGGGGCAGGAGGTCAGGGACAGCCCCAGATTCAAACACCAAGCCCATGGCCTATGTCCAGAGAGGCCAGCTCCTCACACTCTGCAACATCCCTCAAAGCTAGGAAGAAGGAGGCTGAGGTCCCAGCTAGGCCGGCCTCTTCACCCTGCTCCTGAAGGGTGGTCCGGCATCCAGAACACTCCAGAACCCCTGAAGACAGGCCGCATGCGCTGGGCCACAAGGTACATACGGACTTACAGGCCTTCCCGGAGTTGGTGGCCAAGATGCATGGCGCTCCACCCAGCCAGGGAGGCAGCAGGCTTCGGCCTCCCCACCCTGGCTCCAGAAGCCACCGGAAAAGAAGTTTCCATTCAGTCTCACCCCTGAACCACTGCTGGAGGCCCCGGAAGAGGAGGCAGCACCGGGCTGTAAACCCCAGCGCCTCCCCCGGGCACAAAGACTCCAAGGGAGAGGGCAGTGTTTGTCAGCCACGGCCCTAGCCCAGGACACACTCAGAGGAGAGTCGTGGCTCCAGTCAGCGCCTGGCACTCCCTGCCCGGCCCACAGTGGCACCCCACATGCCCTACACCCGAGCCCCTTTAGATAAGGGGACCCTAAGCTCTGAGCCTACTGCAGCTCTACTTCCTGCCTCTCCCCTGCTGCCCTGGCCCTCTGGCCTCTTGGTGCCCAGGACAGAGGCCTCAGTGATGTGGGATACTTCATGGAGGTCCAGCCCCAAGCCCCAGCTCAGGGGAGGAGTGCTGGCACAACAAAGGAACAAGGTGGGGGACAGCGACCCTCAGACCCTTATCCCCTTCAGTCTGAGCCAGGGAGTGAGGGGTCAATGCCTCCAGGGCCGCTCAGCTGGCCGCCTCCTCTCAGTCGTCTCTCCTCTGCCCTGCTGGCTGAGTTCCAGCTCCTGACCCACACAGGAGCTGTGGAGGACTGAGCACCCTTCCCTTCCCCTCTGAGGCAGTGCTGGGTCCCGTGGGCTCAGGATCTTCCACCAGGGCCTGACCTCGTGACTACCACCCAGACTCGGAAATGGGCCCTCAGCTCACTCAGTGGGGCTGGGTAAGGGGACAGGAGCCCACAGCCCCAGGAGGCGCAGGCTGGAGACCCCACCCGAGCTGGCACACAGCTCCCCAACCCCACACATAAGCCAAGGCCAGGGAGCCCCTGGAAGGAGGAGGCCTTTCCCATACTTGAACCCCAGGAACTGGCCAAGCCTCCCAGGGTCAAAGAAAAGAGGCCTCTGGGCAGGAGGAT